GCAGCTCCCAGATCCTTCATGTCGAACTCATTATTAATTTCAACCTTCACACTCATTACATCTTCGACATTGTTTCTTGCTATTAGAATATCATCCACATAAAGCAACAAAATAACAAATGAATTACCAGGTCGAAATATGAAGTAAACAAAGTGGTCGAACTGACTTTTGATGAAACTTATGCGTGCCATGAACTTGTTGAATCTCCTATTCCACTATCGAAGAGATTGTTTCAGTCCATATAAAGATCTCTCCAGTTTTCACACATAATCTTCCTTCCTCATTTCAACATACCCTTTAGGTTGCCTCATATGGATTATTTCGTCTAGGTCACCATACAAGAACGCAGTCTTCACATCCATCTATTCCAGTTCAAGATCAAACTGTGCCACTGTGGCAAGCAACATTCCAATGGATCTGTGCTTCATAACAGGAGAGAACACATCATTAAAGTCGATACCTTCTTTCTGAGTGAACCCCCTAGCAACCAATTTTGCCTTGTATCTCTTCGACGCCACTCCTTCGATTCCTTCCTTAACTTTGAAAATTTATTTACAGCTGACTAACCTCGCTCCAATAAGTTCCTTGATCAATTCCTAGGTATTGTTATCATGAAGAGATTTCATCTCATCATCCCTGACCTTCAGCCATTCAGTGTTCTTTCGAATCCTCATAACTTCTTTATAGTCTCTAGGTTTTTTGTCTAGAACCTCACTTGCAGAGATTAAGGCATAATATATATGATCTGCATACCCAAGTCTCTGAGGTGGCTTGATGAACCTCCTCGACCTGTCTCTTGCTAGCAGGTAGTCATTATCAGTCTCCTCATCTTTGACAACAACTTCTGCTTCTTCTTCGACTTCATCTGAGATACACAATTCAGTATCAACATGCTTCACCTCAACAGGAATCTCGCCCTGTTCCAGCTCTTCGTCAACATCATCGGTTTTTTTAAAATCTATCTCTACTTCATTGAAAACTACATCTCGATTGGTGATACACTTCTTGTGACCTGGCTCTAGGCACCATTTCTTATAAGCTTTGACTCCTTCAGGGTATCCCATGAACATGCATTTCAGAGCTCTAGGTTTGACCTTATCTTGCCTAATGTGAGCATAGGCCATGCAACCAAATACTCTCAGTCTGTCGAGACTAGGTGGATGTCCCGACCAAACTTCTTCAGGTGTCTTCATTTCTAAGACAGACGAGGGACATCTATTTATCAGATAGGCTGCTGTCGAAACAGCCTCTTCCCAAAACACTTTCTTCAATCCAGCACTAACCAACATGTATCTAACCCTTTCAAGGATTGCTCGATTGAATCTCTCAGCTAAGCCATTTTGTTGAGGAGTAGCTGCTACAATCTTATGCCTTGCAATCCCAAACTTAAACAGTAACTATCGAACGATTCGTTGCAGAACTCAAGGCCATTGTCAGTTCTGAACCTCTTAACCTTTCTTTCAGTTTGAGTTTCGACCAGAACCTTCCAACTTTTGAAATTCTCAAAATTTTCATCCTTTGTCTTTTGAATGAATACTCATAGCTTTCTGGAATAGTCATCAACGATGGATAGAAAATACCTTGCACCTGAGTGCGAAGCATTCCTTGCAGTCCCCCAAAGATTAGCATGAATGTAATCTAGGGATCCATTTGTTCTTTGCTTGCCTTTGTTAAACTTCTCCTTATAGGATTTACCAAATACACAAGATTCACAAAACTCTAACTTTTCGACTTTATCACCTCCTAAAAGGTTCTGCTTTCCCAATTCGACCAAACCTCTTTTGCTGACACGGCTCAATCTCATGTGCCATAATTCTGTCTTCGATACAGGTTTCGTGGATGCAACATTTATCAAACCACTTACAACCTCAGCCTCAAGGGTATACAATCCTTGTTTCTTCACACCTCTCAAGACTTCCTTCGACCCCTTCATGACTCTTAGCATACTTTTCTCTCCTTGAAAAACATATCCCTTCTTGTCGAATTCACCAAGAGAAATCAAATTTCTCTTCAAATCAGGTACATACCTGACTTCAATCAATAACCTTATTAACTCATCATGGAGCTTGAATCTCACAGATCCAATACCTACAATTTTGCAAGATTTGTTGTTTCCCAGCAGCACTGATCCATCATCTTGATCACATAACTCCTCGAACAACTCTCTGTTTGGAGTTGTGTGCCAAGTGCAACCTGAATCCATTATACATTCTTTTCTTGAGTCGCCTCTTGAAACTACAAGGACATCAGATGAGTCGAAGTCATCTTGAACAATGGCCGCGTTGCCATTATCCTTACCTCCATGATCTTTTAGGCGTTTAGGGAACACCTTTCTTGTGTGACCCTCCTTATTACAATGATAGCATCGAATACCAGATGTTTCGCCACCATAAGACTTCTGTTGACTTTTACCTTTCTTCTTGTCGAACTTACCATCCTTTCGCAAGAATTTTCCCTTAACGACCAAACCTTCACCCAACGTCGAAGGTTTATGCTCATTTCGTTCGTTCAATTTCTTAGAATACAAGGCTTATTGAACTTCTTCAAAGCTCAGGGATTCCCTTCCATACAAGAGAATTTCTTTGAAGCGAGCATGTATTATGAGCAAAGCACACGACAATAACAATGCTTGATCTTGATCATCGATCTTCACATCAATATTTTCAAGATCAAAAATCAGCTTGTTGAACATATCCAACTACTTAGCCAACACTTTGTCTTCACTCATCTTGAATGAATACAAAACTTGCTTCAAGTAGAGTCGATTCACCAGAGATTTGGTCATGTATAAACTTTCAAGTTTCACCTATAACCCTGGTGTTGTAGTCTCCTTTGACACCTTTCGAAGAACCTTATCACCAAGGCTCAACAATATTTCATTGTGGGCTTTCTCAATCATGACCCTATTTTCTTTTTCCGTTAACGCAACGTTCATGACTGCCTCTCCCTTTAACACTTTCAAACAACCCTGCTGAACTAGTAGGACCTTCATCTTCAAGCGCCACAGACCAAAATCGTTCACTCCGGTGAACTTTTCAATCTCATACTTTATTGAAGGCATATTCTCCACGCTCATCGCACCAATTTGTTATGAAAAAGGGTGCCTTGGAACAAAATATACACGGTTTCTTTATAGGCAAGGAACACACAAGGATTAGGGATAACAAAGAAAACAAGGGAAAACGACAAGGATTGGTAATAAAATGCTATTCTTTCATTTCTCTACCAAACAAGATTACAAGTATACAAGAATAACAAATAACCTCTCTCTACTGAATTAGGATTTCATCTTCCTATTTTTCCTTATGCAAGTTGAGAGACTAGCATGTTATTTATAAGAAAACTAACATACTAACCTAATGGACTTTTTAACAATTATCCATTACAAGCTAACTTAGGGTACAAGCTAACTTAAACAATTGGACTTACAAGCAAGACCCAATTCAACATGCTAACAAACCTAACAATATTTACTAATGCATGTTAGAACAAACTTCGACTACAACACGCATTACTCCTGTCGAACCGAAAGCTACCCTTTGACCATAATAGAGTTCGATTCAATATCTCACAACATTTTGATTAAAATAGATTTATCTAGGGTAGAAAATAGTATTGTTATAAACGGGAACAACTTTATTATTATTCAAATATTTTTACAAATATTGTCAAAACAAAAATAATATTTTGATTCAAATATTTTATATACGAGAACAATTTTACCATTGATTCAAATATTTTTATAAATAGTGTCAAAACAAAATTAATATTTATATACGAGAAAAAAATACATTGTTGATTAAAACATTTTTATATAGGGGAGAAAATAATATTGTTATAAACGGGAACAACTTTACTATTGATTCAAATATTTTTATAAATATTGTCAAAATAAAAATAATATTTTAATTCAAATATTTTCATATATGGAAACAAATTTGCTATTTTTTCAAATATATTTATAAATAATGTCAAAACAAAAATAATATTTATGTATGAAAAAAAATAAATTGTTGATTAAAATATTTTTATATATGAAAATAAATATTATTGTTATTAACCAGATCAACTTTATTAATTATTTAAATATTGAATAAAAAAATTATAGATCATTTTTTAAAATATATAAAAAAGATTAAAAGAGTTTATTAAAATAGATTAAACTGATATTTAAAAATTATATTTTCTCTTATGAAATAATATCTTTTTCATAAAAAAACTAAAAAAAACGATAATTATCTAATTTAAGTTTTAATAGTTTTTATTTTTATATATTATTATAATATTGTTATTTATCTTTCATTTTTTATATTTATTATTATGTTAACTTAAATTTATTATTATTTTTAAATTTTTTCTTTTTTTTCTAACTTCTTAATTTTTATGACAATTTAGGAGCAAATACACGTACCCACTCGAAAATGTACCCGTGTGTAAAGAGTTTGAATACAAAATTCAAGAATGTCACTTGAATTCAATAGGACACATATTCTATTCTAATATGCCGACAGTATCCCTAATTATTCTATTCAAGGAATATGCCACCTCAATTAAGTCATACTATATTTAACCAAGTTGATATTTGCTTTCTCAACTTGAATCATTTAGAACCCTCATTGCTCCTTCCTCATTAATATTTCCATAGTAAAGAAGAAAAACAAACACAAACAATCACAAATTAAAGTTAACAAACTCAATTTGTCATACCCAATAGTACACCAATATAATAAAGCAAAACACAAACCGCCCATGGTTTCTTTCTTCTTTAATTAAATTCTTAACTTTCCATTTCCATGTTCCTCCCACCGTCTCACTCTCAACCACTTTCCACTCTCACTCTCTCAATACACAACACATAGCCTTTTTTTGTGTGTATATAAAAATAACACCTCTTAGATTCTTTCTATTTCCATCTTCAAACCATTCAACAACAACAAACAAAAAAAAACTTCCTTTATAAATTTCACTTTTAAACCAAACCAAACCAAACCTTTCACAAAATGGACACAAGGTTAGGCTCTTTAGATTTAAGCAAACCAACCAGCAACGACGTCGTTTCATGCGCTAAAGCAAATAGTACATGCTCCATCCAGCCGTCGATTCCATCAACACCGTTTTCCCCCGCCGACGCTACGCTAGGCCGCCACCTCGCACGGAGGCTAGTCCAAGTCGGCGTCACCGATGTTTTCTCCGTTCCCGGTGACTTCAACCTCACGCTTCTCGATCACCTCATTGATGAACCGGGGCTTAACTTAATCGGTTGCTGTAACGAGCTCAATGCGGGGTATGCTGCCGACGGTTACGCTCGATCACGCGGCGTCGGGGCTTGTGTTGTTACTTTCACTGTTGGTGGACTTAGTGTTCTTAATGCTATAGCTGGAGCTTATAGTGAGAATTTGCCGCTTATTTGTATAGTTGGTGGACCTAATTCTAATGATTATGGAAGTAACCGGATTCTTCATCATACCATTGGGTTACCTGATTTTACTCAAGAGTTAAGGTGTTTTCAAACGGTTACTTGCTTTCAGGTTAGTTATTGATTAGAATCTCTTACTGCATGTTTACTGCATGCTTTAAACTAGTTTGTTGTTGTTTGTAAATTGGGTTTGTGTTTATACAACACCTACACCTCTAAATAAAGATGTGTCTGGTCTCGTGTTTGTGTCTGTACTTCATAGGTTTTAGTGATTGTTTTGATTGGTTGATTTGATTTGTTATAGGCTGTGGTGAATAATTTGGAAGATGCTCATGAGTTGATTGATACAGCAATCTCAACTGCACTGAAAGAGAGTAAGCCTGTTTATATAAGCATTGGATGTAACCTGCCTGCAATTCCTCACCCAACTTTCAGTCGTGACCCTGTCCCTTTTTCACTCGCTCCCAGGTAAGTTTTTTTTTTTCTCTCTTTCAGTGATTAGGGTATGTTTGGTTTCAGTTTATCTAATATCTGTTTGTTTGATTTGGGTGTTCTGTAGATTGACTAACCAGATTGGGTTGGAAGCAGCAGTTGAGGCAGCAGCAGAGTTTCTAAACAAAGCAGTGAAACCAGTACTAGTTGGTGGTCCTAACCTGAGGGTGGCAAAAGCATCTGATGCCTTTGTTGAACTAGCTGATGCGAGTGGTTACGCGCTAGCCGTGATGCCATCGGCTAAAGGGATGGTTCCGGAGCACCATCCTCATTTCATTGGTACTTATTGGGGTGCTGTGAGTACTGCATTCTGTGCTGAGATTGTTGAATCAGCTGATGCATACGTGTTTGCTGGTCCCATTTTTAATGACTATAGTTCGGTCGGGTACTCACTTCTTCTCAAGAAAGAGAAGGCGATTATTGTGCAGCCCGATCGGGTTGTGATTGCTAACGGACCTGCATTTGGATGTGTATTGATGAATGATTTCCTTAAGGCACTAGCAAAGCGTCTGAAACACAACAATGCGGCATATGAAAATTACCATAGGATATTTGTCCCAGATGGAAAACCTTTGAAGTCTGCACCAAAAGAACCTTTGAGAGTTAATGTTATGTTCCAACATATACAAAAGATGCTGTCTGGTGAAACTGCTGTAATTGCTGAGACAGGGGACTCATGGTTTAACTGCCAAAAGTTGAAATTGCCTGAGGGATGTGGGTAAGTGTAAAGAGAATGTGATTTGTTGTATTTTTCAAGTTTTTTTCTTCATTATGTTTATAGTGCTGATAAAATCTTGCTGACAGGTATGAGTTTCAAATGCAATATGGCTCAATTGGATGGTCTGTTGGTGCAACTCTTGGCTATGCACAAGCGGTACCCGAGAAGCGAGTTATTGCTTGCATCGGCGATGGAAGCTTCCAGGTTTGTCTTGCATAACTACTTAAAGCATGATTTGATTCTTGAACATGGTTTTTAACTTTCCCCTATGCTTTGCAGGTAACAGCACAGGATGTATCAACAATGCTGCGATGTGGTCAGAAAACCATAATCTTTCTGATAAACAACGGCGGATACACTATTGAGGTAGAAATTCATGATGGGCCATACAATGTTATCAAGAACTGGAACTACACTGGATTGGTTGATGCAATTCACAATGGTGAAGGAAAATGTTGGACTACCAAGGTGATTCTCTTGTCATTGTAATGTGTTCTTCTTGAAATTCTACTGTAACATGGATATAAGTGCTGATCTTGTTATTCATGCATGTTTCATTATTCAGGTATTCTGTGAAGAGGAGCTAGTAGAAGCAATTGCCACAGCAACAGGACCAAAGAAAGACAGCTTATGTTTCATAGAAGTGATTGTTCACAAGGATGACACAAGCAAGGAATTGCTTGAGTGGGGCTCAAGGGTCTCTGCTGCCAATAGCCGTCCCCCAAATCCTCAGTAAATTTCTGAGTCAGTCTTTTGTTGCTACATTGCTCAGCTCTTTTAGATGTGTCAATTGTCATTGTACGGCATTGACTTGTTTATGGTTTGATTTCATGTTTATGTATCTGAGTCCTTTGTACGATGCCTTGTTGTCATGAATTCACCATTTCTCTATTCAGGGAACACCAATTTGAATATGTTAGTAATTTTAGGCTCCATGCCTTTCCCATTGTTATTTCTGGTATATATGAAAGTTACAGGATTATACAAGTAATCAACTTCTTTGAATTCTTGAGAACTTTCTACTTACAATCATTCTCCTTTGAATTCTTGAGAACTTTCTTTCTACATGCAAGAGTTGGAATTTTGCTTGACACTTCACTCTCCTTTACCTCTCTTTCTTGTGTATCTCTTTCTCTCTCTAAGTTAGTTATTATTCACTTCAATTCTCTCTAAAATCCGACTGCAGATAGAAAATGAATGAATTCCCCTTTATTATAGACTCTTAAACCCTTGGAAAAAGACTTAAATGCCCTTCACCAACTTTCTTAGATTTTAGGCTTAAATGATATAGGCAAACATGATCGGTGATGATTTTTTTAGTTAACTTTGTCTTAAACTCAAATTTTCTTTTTCTTTTATTTGTTGATGATGATGTTGGTTGGTACTGATGATGATGAAAGTGGGTTGAAATTGGGTCTAAAGCAAAAAAGTTTCAAGAGTTTTCTTTTATTGTTAGTGCTTATGATTTTGGTTGTATTTTTGCAAAAGAGATGATACAAAAGGATGAAGAATTTTGGATTTGGAAAAGAACAGGAAATGAAGATTTATGTGTTTCTTGGTTGATTTGTTGGAGAAAAATTATCATTATTATTGGAAGAAATAGATATAAACTGTTGTAATTTTATTCCTTAGTCAAATGCTGCTTTATATAATGAAAATATAATAAAAATATTTAATTTTTTCTTTAATGAAGAATAAAAGAAAATAAATGACAATAAACGTAAACAATTAAATATAGAAATAACATATTTTTTAACATCCTTTTTAAGTTGGTGCGTAGATATCTATCTTGCCCAACTTGTCTATTAAATGCTTAAAGGTAGGTTTTGCCGAACTTTTGGTCAAGATATTTGCAGTTTGCTGACTTGAAGTCACGAAAGGTAGACATATGATTCCAACATCTAACTTCTCTTTTATGAAGTGTCGATCAATCTCAATATGCTGGGTTCTGTCATGTTGAACTGGATTATGAGCTATGCTAATAGGAGCTTTACTGTCAGTACAATTTCAATGGAAGCACAACTTTCATCTTAAGTTCTTTTAAGACTCTAAGGATCCATAATCCATCACAAATACCTTGAGACATAGCTCTAAACTCGGCTTCTGCACTACTCCTTGCTATAACGTCTTGTTTCTTACTCCTCCATGTCACAAGATTACCCCAAAACATAGGTATAGTATCCATAGGTTGATCTTCTATAGGTGACTGAACCTGCCCAATCAACATCGGTGAAGATAGACACATTTCTTTCACTAGTCTTCTTAAAAAATAATTCTTTTCCAGGATTTTCCTTCAGATATCTCAGTATCCTATAGACTGCCTCAAGATGTTCTTCGAAAGGAGAATGTATAAACTGACTCACTACACTGACTGAGAAAGCAATATCAAGTCGGGTGTGTGACAAATAAATCAGTTTTTCAACCAATCTCTGATATCTTCCAGTATAAACAGGAACATTACCTTCTCCCCAAAGTTTAACATTAGGATCCATAGGGGTATCTACAGGACAACATCCACTCATTCCTGTTTCTTTCAATAAGTCTAGAATGTATTTCTGTTGTGAAACCACAATATCATTCTTTGACCGAGCAACCTCCATGCCTAGAAAATATCTCATGAATTCCAAGTCCTTGATTTCAAAGTCTACTGTCAATTTTCCTTTTACCCTTGCCATTTCCACTGTATCGTCTCCAGTAAGGACAATATCATCAACATAAACAATCAGAACAACAACTTTCCCATCGTTGGAGAATTTTGTGAACAAGGTGTGGTCAGCCTGTCCTTGAATGTACCCTTGATTCTTCATGGACTGAGTGAATTTTTCAAACCAAGCTCTAGGAGACTGCTTTAATCCATATAAATACTTGTTTAGTTTGCATACATTTGATCCAAATTTGTTTTCAAAACCAGGAGGAATGTCCATATATACTTCTTCTTTTAGATCACCATTAAGAAAGACATTTTAAACATCTAACTGATGTAGTGGCCAATTCAGGTTAGCAGCAAGAGATAAAAAATTCTTATAGTGTTCAATTTTGCAACAGGAGCAAATGTCTCTGAGTAGTCTATACCATAGGTATGAGCGAAGTTTTTAGCCACCAAGCGAGCCATGTACCTTTCAATTGACCCATCTGAATTATACTTCACAGTAAACACCCATTTGCATCCAACTGTCTTCTTGCCATTTGGTAGCGACGTAACACTCCAAGTTTTGTTCTTTTCAAGAGCTTTCATCTCCTCAAGTACAACTTCCCTCCACTTTGGAATTTCTAGAGCAACCTGTACACTATTTGGAATTTCTACACTAGACAATTTTGAGGTGAAGGCAGACATAGATGAAGTCAAATTTGAATATGAAATAAAATTGGACATGGGGTGTTTAGTGCAAGATCTGACAGATTTTCTAATGGCAACAGGACATCTATATCAGGATAAAAAATACGAGTCTCAAAAACAGAGATAAACTTACCTTTTCTTTTGTTAGGAGGTTGATCATTCCCCAGTTCAGATTCCTGACAGTGTTGAGACGTGGACTCGTCCCTTCGTTTATGGTGCTTTTTCATAAAAATCTTCCCTTTCCAAGTCCTGTTTCCTAATTTGAATATGTTTTCTAGAAGTGACTCATTATTTTGTGGCATTTCAATTAGATCATCATTATCATCGTTTTCAGGATTCTCATTGTTTTCTACAAGAGAAAATGTAGGTTTGGATTCACAAGGCTCCTTACTCATAATAGGAGTAGAATCAAATGCATAATCATTGCCATTTTCTGTTGGTGCAGATGTAGAAGTCTCAGAATTTTGTGGTACATGCAAAGATAAATTTTTCAAAAAACTCATGTCCTCAATTTAAAGCGAGTCTTCCTTTATCTCCCCCCTTGAAGATGAGTGTTATCAAAGAAAAGTTTATTTTCAAAAAATGTAACATCCATAGTGACAAACATTTTCTTATTTTTTGGATCAAAATATTTATATCCTTTTTGGGTTGAGGAGTATCCAAGAAAGACACATTTTATAGCACGTGGCTCAAGTTTTTCAAGATATTTATGTTCATGAACAAAAGTTGTGCAACCAAAGATTTTTAAAGTCAAATCAGTTAAAATACGAGTACTAGGAAAACATTCTTTGAAGACATTAATTGGAGTTTGAAAATTGAGAATTTTAGAGGGCATTCTGTTAATTAAATACGCAATTGTTAAAACAGCTTCGCCCCACAAATAATTTGGTACTTTATTCGAAAAAAATAGAGCTCTAGCAACCTCCAACAAATGTCTATTTTTTCTTTCGGCCATTCCATTTTGTTGAGGAGTATTAGGACATGAACTTTGATGTACAATCCCATTTTTTAGAAAAAAATCATCTAGGATAGTGTTAAAATATTCTTTGCCATTATCACTTCTAAAAACTTGGATATTTGTTTAAAATTGGTTCTGCACCATTGAAAAAAAAATTCTTTACAGCCTGACAAACATCTGATTTCCCCTTTAACAAGTACACCCAACGTACTCTTATACGGTCATCTATAAATGTGATAAACCATTTTTTGAGAGAGACTGTACTAGTACAGTTAAGGCCCCAAACATCACTGTGAATAATAGAAAACGGTTTTGATGGTTTATAAGGTGTTAAAACTACAGTAAAGCGGCAAGAAGCAAAAATTTAGTTTTGAAGGAATTTTCTTCGGGGTTTATATCATTTCCACAGGGATCGGTGTTCAAAAGATTTGGTTTAAAAGGTTCAAGGAACCATGAATAAACGGAAGAAAATATAAAGACGGGAAATATAAAGTAAAAACTAAAATATAAACGAAGCCTTGTTGGGATTGGATCTCATCAATTGATAACACATGCATTCTTCTGATCATGATAAACATAACTCAATCATTCGTCTAATATCCTCACGTATCACCCACAATAGAGGTAATCTCTAACGCAACATCGAGAGAACAACCGTATTGTCTCATTGGTGATGTCTCACGCAACAAAAACACAACATATAGCATTAAGAACTGATACTCGCGCAAATGCTAAGCCTAAATCTATGTCTAGAGTTTAGGACCTAACAGGTAATCATCCTAGATCCAGATCTGAAGAGTACATGTCTATAGCGGTTCAAATCAAAGATAAATAAGTAAACAAAGACGACACGTCGGATAAACGATTGTTTTAAATAAAACACAATGATCAGAATACGTACATACGCTTAACCCTTTTTACATGTATTCACCTAATCTGCCAAATGGTTGTGAACATCGTTCTTCATCACTATTATCACGCACCTGCACAATATCGTATTGATCCTACTCATGCTACTTAATCAACACAATAAAATAGAAGATACAATGAATATCAACTTACAAAACCATGTCAAAAGTTTATTCATTGATAGATGAAAATCTTAGATCAAAGATGTGAAAAGGTTTTGTCAAGACCCACAAATAAACAATCAAAGATAATCAATCAATAGAGAATCCAAACTAGTTCACAAACATATATTAGATGAAACACATAAGGTATCAAAAGATTACATCCAAACCCCAACAAGAGATCAAAGATCTTACCTTCTCCCTCTTAGGGTTTTGTATTTCTCTCTCTAAAATAAACTTGAAATGAAGAGAGATAAGTTCTGATGTAAAAATTATATATTATTTTTTTAAAAAGCAAGAAAAGTACTTATATAGTACATTCAGGATCTGTCTTGTTCACACTGCGAACAGATCCTTCACCTATCGAACAT